AAAATCAAAAGGCGCACACCCAACAGCCACAAAGCAAAGAAATACGAACGTCCCACTGGCCAGCAACCATCAAGCACTTATTAGCATGCCATCTAAGTGAAAATTTAACAGCAAAAGACCACTAAATGTCTACCAGTGTTTTTGTTGGTCATGCCATCAGTCTGGCATGCTGCGTATAGTACACATCACAGGCCTAAGCCTTCTGTCGACGGCACGGCTCTCAGTTTTACAGATTCCGCTTCCTGCAACAGTATCGTTGCTACCGCTGCTCTCTTCAAATTTGCACGCCAGGTTAGGGCTGCGGCCAGTGAAACACATTGACAGCATCCGAAGCTTCAAGTTGTGCGTTGGGCCCTACAACAACATTCCTTTTTACTGCCCAGCCGCAGGCCCCAAACACTACGCCTGCCCGCTTTAGACTGGCGAAGCATACGGAAAAACGATATCCAACATAGTAGAGGGAACATCGGAACGCTTCCGACACCAACAACTTTCAAGTCACTGTGGTAGAAGTGTAATTGGCTAATGCAACCTGGTCAAGCGTTCCATTCATCTTATCCACATGCCTTAACTGTACCTGAAATTATATTTGAAACCGAGTGAGCCTTGCACGATGTCAGCGCACTTGCAGCTGTTGCCTCTGCAACTGTGCCACGTGATGACATTTATACCAGTGCCCTAGCGGCCCTAGCGCACGCTGTTGTTGCCGGCCGAGTCCAAAGGTGTGCCATCCACCAAATAGCCGACATCTGCAGCATAGGCTGAGGCTGGCAAGGCGGCACCAGGAACATGAGGATCGGGCCCAATGTTTTCTGGATGGTTGATGTTATTCCCTGCCTTGTTCAAAGGCGTGCCGTCCGGCAAGTACCCCACATCATTCACAAACACAGCACGGGGCAGGGGTGAACCTGGAGCATGAGGGTCCGGTCCAATACTCTCTGGATGGTTGAGACAATTGCCCGCCAGGTTCATGGGCGTGCCGTCTGGCAAGTAGCCAACATCATTGCCAAAGGCCAAGTCCGCATAGGCACTCTTCTGCATGGAATATGCGAAACCGCCGGAATGTTGCAGAGGGCCACCACTGCCAGTCTGAGGGACACCTTGAGCACCACCGGCACCACCCTGAACGGATGCCACAGAGGCGGCTGCTGGCGCTGGCGTGGCAGAGGCCTGGGCGCTCGGTGGTACAGATGCGACTGTTCCACCACCCCCATAGGGAACCGATGAGTGGTGGAGACAAATGCGGACCTTGCCATCTTCGCACTTCTTGTAGCCAAATGTATACTCTACCTTGTTGATGCTCATATCCGCCGCGCTGGTGAAATAGTAGTTGCCCATGGCAATGGCAACGTCGCCGTGCACATCGATCTTGTGGTTGTCGAAGTGGACATCTGACCAACCCTGCCCGCCGTTGATTGCAAAGCCATGATCCTCGGCAATTCCTTCACCAGGACTCATAGCATCGGCCCCCACAAAGTATGACATGGCCTGGTTTGCATCAGGACGGAACTGGACCTCCGCAGCTTTGGTTGGCTTGAAGAGCACATCTCCATGGCCGTAACCATAGAGTTCGCCGGCTGCTTTGGCAGCTACCGCCACATAGTCTCCTCCCTCCAGATAAGTTCTGGAAATGTTCTTGATTGCATTTCCCCACGATACCTGGGCGCTTCTCACCTCGTCCTCTGTGACTGTCGCGGGGCTCCCCCCATATGGCACTGACGAGTGGTGGAGAAAGACGCGAACCTGGCCATCATCGCATTTCTTGTAACCAAATGTGTATTCCACCTTGCTGATGCTCCCATCCGACGCGCTGGCAAAGTAATAGTTGCCCATAGCAATGGCAACATTGCCGTTCAAGTCGATCTGGTGGTTGTCGAAAAGCACATCTGACCAACCCTTGCCACCGTTGATTGCGAAACCATGATCCTCAGCAATTCCTTCGCCAGCACCCATGGCATCGGCTCCCAAAAAGTAAGACAACGCCTGTTTCGCCTCGGGGCGGAATGGGGTGTCTTTGGCTTTGGTAGGCTTGAACAGCACATGCCCATGGCCGTAGCCATAGAGTTCACCAGCTTTGCGAGCAGCCACTCCCACGTAGTCTCCGCCCTCCAGATAAGTCTTGGAGATGTTCTTGATCGCTTCCACCCAGGCTCTCTGGGCGGCTTTCACATCGTCCGTCGTGAGTGGCTCAACACCGCCACCAACGCGGGTGGCCATTCTGGAGCGCCTGGAGCGTTTGGAACGAGCCAAGAGTCCAGTGGTGGCTGTTGTCGCCACAAGAGCACCGTATGCAGAGCTGCCGGAATTTGAGGCGACGTTGCGCGGCTTTGGCACCGCGGTCGTGGCTGTGGCCGAAGCCACTGGCCTCACCGGAGCCACGAAGCCAACACCCGGGGAGGTCAGCGCTCCAAGAGCACTCGGGATGGCGATGCTCGACATTTTCTGAGTGTCCAGGCTGCGGGAAACAATGACCCCTCAAGTGCAAAAAGCGCTTGAGCCATAGCAAAGAGAGCACTCAACTTGAAGGCGGCGTTTCTTTCATCATTGCTGGACAAGAATCTTCTTCGAGAATCTGCACGACGCAGCATTCATGAGAGGCACTCAACAAAACTTGCCCCGGCAAGCGACCTAATTAATTCATGTGAGCAGCATGCAGTTCGCCAGCTGGTTCTGTGCCATACTGCATTCGTCTCTGTATGCCCCAAGCTCACTGCGAAGTGGCTGCCTCAAACTTTTTGATCGGCGATGATCGAGTCACTATTTTGCTATCTGGGACTGAGCGAGACAGGCACTCGACATGTCACCAGTTGCTGCCGTCTCGCTCTACCCGGGCTTGTGAAGTATCCTTCCCACACTTGCACGCAGAACAACTCACAATGCGGACAGTGTATGGGCGAAGCTTTGAGTTGAACATGAATGAGTCTGTGTGTAGGTCTACAGATCTACGTGCAAGCGCATCATGCTTGACCCGCGCGGTCTCAGCTGGCACCGAATGGAGCAGCACACGGCAGCAGCGTGCCAGTCATCCTGGCTTCTCCGTCATGGCTCCGTGATGCTCTGTGTCATGGGAGCCTATGGGCCTATGGGCATGGTTATCGTGAAGCCTTTGCTGCCCAAGTCTGTGCAACTTCATCTAGAGCAGCGTCCCTTTGGCGCCAAGCATGAAGCATGGCCCCGCTTCCATCCCCAGAGTTTCCAGATCCACAAGTCCGGCCCTCAAGCCGGAGCCCGAAGAAGAGCATCCCCTGTATCCTGGACGCAACCTGGAGGGGACACAAGCATCCTCCCAACCCCTGCCCCCTTTGCACCGGGTTTTGGGCAACAGCTGCGCCAACTAATCCGCAACCTGTCGCATGTTGATGCCTTGCTCTGGCATTTTTCCGGATGCCACCCCCATTGGATTCGGTCTCAAATTAATTATTGCTCTTATTTCCACTTTGCGCTCTCTGTCTCTCTCCCTCTTTCTCTCTATCTCTCTCGAACTCAGCGCGCCAGTTTGATGCTAGTCCAGTGGCTCACTGCAGGAATGAAACCCAACATAGCTTGTAAGAAAGGAACATGAAGAAGTGAAGAACACCAAACGGAGGCGCGCCTGCACCCCTCTCATCCTGGACGCACCCAAACAGACTCCTGATGGCATGCACGGCTCGAGCCGCATTTACCTTCTTGCAATAAAAGTTGAACAGAGGTTGGGCAAGTACATGCAGCTTCAATAATCCTTTGTGACAGTGTTCCAGTAGTAGGGGACGCTGTACTCCTCTGACCAATGCTCCTCTCGGTAAGCACGCGGTTCGCAACCATGTGACACGCCAACAATCCCTCCAATCATTTGCTCCTCCCAGTCTGGAGGCAGACCTCCTCCTTGCTGCGACTGAGACTGCCAGCCGTTCGCTTGCCTGTAGAGAGTTGCTTGAATGCACGAGGGTGAGGAACAGCCACGTTCGACATCCTTTCCGCTGGTTCAGCAATATTAAGACAACATGAAGCCAAGTCAGGAGCTGATGGCCCGCCAGCTGCTTTCCCTTGAGACCTGCCTTCGTTGCCAAGGCATGCTAAGGGCAAGCTGAGCCAACTGAGGTTAGACACAAAGCCCTGTTCAAGCCTTGAGCGCGTTGCCTTTGAAGCTTTGGCTGCCTTTGCCACCTGAACAACAACGATCCACTAAGCAAAAGTGCATGCATGCTGGCCTCTCCTTTGCACTGGCGGGCGGCTTTGCCAACCGGATGTAGAAGTACTAACTCTGTGAAACTTTAGGCTTCGAGCATGCTCCTGCCGAGCTGCGGGGGCGTGCAAGGCACGACGATCGATTCTTGTGGGCAGGAGAACTTTTGAGGCAGGGGTGCTGGTTAGCAAGATTTAGCTTGTCTCTCTTCGATGCCCCTTTTCCCTACATTACATCTGTGGCAACTCTTGGAATCAGCAACTAGTCTTTCAAAATTTAACTTCTCGACCCACTGCTCTTCCAACAGCAAGGAGCGTTGCCGACACGTTCTGCATTGCAAGACTCACCAAAGAAACTCTCCGTCATCGGCCTCCCGGCAGGTTGTCCAAGATTCTGCAGTTCTCTGCCCCCAACCCACTGCTGTCTGCCTGAGCTCGTGCAAGCCGCAGGAACGTTCTTCAAGTCTTGCAAGTCGTGCAACGTTATACTAGTGTGCTATTTCTTAGCGCCTCAGGCTCGCGCGTACACCATGAAGGACACGCGGCAGCCAGGATTTACAGTCACACTGTCGTCCTCCATGTCGGACAGATGGATGTAAATCTTGCCCTGGTGCTTGCCACCTTGTGTGTGATTCACTGGCGTGTCTGGAATAATCCATCCATACTTCCCAAACCAAACTTGAAGCTCGCCGGTCTGCTCAGTTGTGCTGATCTGCTGGCGTGGCAGCTTCGCTTTTGATTTGAAGCCCTCCGAGGGCGTAGACGGTGTAGACGTCGTGGGGGGATTGGACTTGAACCCCTTGCCAAAGGGCTGCGCAGCTCCTTTTCCAGGTGGTGTGACCGTGACTGCGGCTTGCTTGCCTTCCGCTTGCTTGCCTTCGGCTTTCTTGCCTTTTCCCGCGGCCATGCCTTTTCCCGTCGCCGGTGTCGGTGGCTTGCCGCCCTTCTTGGGGACAGGCGTCATCAGCGTTGGCTTCTCTTGCGCCTTCTTGAGGTGCAGCTGCATGACTTTCTGCGGTCCCTGTGGTGCCTGTGGTGACTGAGGTTGGGCCTTTGCTGGCTGGCTCTTGCCAGGCACAGGCCTACAGAACTCTGCACCCAGCCGACCACCCTCAGAAACCTCGGCATAGACGAGAAAATCCACAGCTTGACCAGGCTCCAAAGCTTGACCTGCTGATACGTCCTTCTGCCTCACAAGGAGCAAGCCACTGTTCTTGGACCTGAGGTTGTGATCGATGACGGAATCTGGTCGAATCCATCCTTCCTCGCCCTGCCAGTGGGACACCGTCCCAGACACTCTGCCGCAGTTCACTCTTGTACGATACGTTGCCGTCCCTTGCTTCTGCTTCATGGCAGCAGTGACCCCCTCCACAACTTCATCGGCGCAGCATGGGCAACATGGTAAAACTCCCAGGCTGGCTCTTGAGTTGGCAACAAACAGGCCGCATTCACACAAACAAGCCCCTGCAAACGGGAGATGTACTGTCAGTCATGCACTCCCTCAGTGTGACGACTTCCATCGCAACCATGCAGCTATTTTCGGAGGATTAGTGAAACATGCCGAGAGGCTCGCGTGCAAAGGTTCTGGGCCAGAAATTGGAACTGCACCAAGTTTTTTGGTGACAGCAAAAAACACGTGCTCAAGCTGTGAAACGTGTATGGAGCATAGCGGCATAGCAGATGCACTGCTCCTTCTGAATTGCTTCATTCCCATCGGAAGATTCGCACATACTTCAGATCTCATGGCTGCCCATGCTTCGCATGTTCTTGCTTCGCGTGGCAGTCTTCGCAGCTTCCGCGACCCGGCGCTGCACAGCCTGCTGCTGGACCTGAGCAGGTCACAGAAGCAGATCAAAGCTGTACGAGAAACATTGAGAGCCTGCCCGCCTCCTCCCACGGTAATGCAACCTCGTATGTCAAAGCATTCTGCGCCCCGTTGACAATGTTGTGCGTCTTGTCCTGCCGCAGTGAAGCCGAGAGTTCATCTGCCGTGCAGCCACTGATAAGTGGATAAGTGCCATGCAGGAGTGCAGGCATTACAAAGGGACTTAAGCCGAGCGGCCCTCACGTCATGACCTGAGGAACAATGACCGGTCGCTACTCAATCAAGTTGCAAGCAGTTTGTAACATCTGCGCCAATCTAGGCTTCGTCGATTTTAAGAACCTCCCGACTGAGCTGGACACTTCGCAAGGCTGCGGCTCGTTCAGGATCCCAGGTCTCAGTGATGCAATGTCGTGGTTTGTGAGAGGTTCAACTGGGAGACGTGAGGCTGCGGCTGGGGAGAACTTCGGGAAGAGGCGGGCATGTGTATCCAAAAACCGAAACGGATGTTGCTCCGGGTCGACGCACTTCCGCTGAATACAAATATCCTGGCAGCGAGGCTGCTAGCATGGTAAGTAACTCTTGGCCCAAGCCAAGGTCTGGAGTCTGAATGAATGCAGGGTTTTGTTGGCCCCAAGAAACTACTATGCACGCGCCTTGGAGCGCTCCAAGCCGGGATCAGTGCCGTAGTTCCGCATTGCCACAGCATCGTCTGAGTAAGTCTGCGAGTGCAAGTTCCCGAACCGATCTTCGGCAATGTTCGCTTTGCGCTCAGCCTGCAGGCGCTGCGAGGTAGAGGCTCTTGGGACCCTAAACTGGCCCTAAACCCGATAAACACCATGAAAAACCACCCCGTGAGGCCGGCCTGCGCAGCCAAATGCTGGTAACGGTCCTTGTAGAGAATGGTATCTGGATGCGTGGGCCCATCAATTCCCAGGATGCCCTTGGCTTGCACACTGGCCATTGCTTTCTAAAGTAGGACTTTACGGTTAAATGGTCAAAAGGACACCACGAACTGTGCAGGAATCTATCTGGGATCTCGGCTTCTGGGTGTTTTCGCTCCAGGACCGTCATGCGCTTTCGGTAGCGGAAGACTGCGTCCCGCTCCTCGCGCCACTTCCTTTCACCTGCCTTCATGAGGAGGTGTTCCTTGTAGCGCTCGGATGGGAGCATCAAGCTGTGGTTCTGATACCTGCGGAGACCAGGAGGTACCAAGGCCGCAGACAGAACAAATAAGCATGTTATAGAAAGTGCAGCTGACGCTGTGAGGAGCACATCTTGATGAACGAATCATCGACTTCCGGAGGAGGAGCCGGGATTTCGAATGTTCCTTCTCGAGGATCACCCTTTGGGTCCATTATTGGATTTGGCAAGTTCGACATGTCCATTGCGCCACACTCCTGGCGAAGGCACCAAGCACGATCAGCCCCAAACTCGCTGAAAGAGCTTCCTGCAAATACGATGATGGCACGGGCCTTCGCAGGTCGGATTACTCGGGCTTCGCTCACGAAGCTGACCGAAGGGCGGATTTGCCCATATGTAGCCTTGGCACAACACATGAGGCAATCAGTTCATGGTGTCCAATACTCCATTCAGATGTGACAGTGCTTTCGGGTGGCAAGATTACGCAGTTCTCAAACAACAGTTTAATAACACGGGGATGTCAAGGACTCGCCGTTGGTTTGAGAGGATGTTCGTTGTCATTAAGTGGTCGTTTGGGACTTGCGGCGGTGCGTTTTCGCACGAATCTTGCGCGGAGACCCATCTTAGGAACAGGTATTTTGTGTCTGGCGCAGCGCATCTTTCCAGACCTTGCGCGGACCTTAGGCCTTAGGCTGCGCTTTTGTGCAGGCCTGGCACCTGTGGGGGTTTCCCACACGCTAGCTTTTGGACGGCGCCCAATTGCAGTGCAAGGAATTAAGGAAATGTACGTCATCCAGCTTGCCAAGAATGCGTAGGGTTCCGGCCATCTTCCTGATGAAGCGATCACCCTGAGTGGGTGCCTGTCGCCACGAACAATTCATTGGCCAGGCGCCGACAACTTCCACGTCACCCTTTCCATCCCTTTCCCCAAAGCCTCCGCGTGCTGATATCCGGGATCCGTGGACTTCAGGAAAGAATCCAGTCGCATTGTTGGATGCGCTCCGCGGGATGCCCCTAAAGCAAGGCCCCCGACCTGCACGCCACAACGATTGCCATGCACACAGCGCCAAAAAGAACGTGCGATTCGACTTCTCTGTGCCTCTGCCTCTCACTCTGCCTCTGATTGCGTCTCTCTCTGTCTTCTTCCTCTCAAAAGGCAAACGTGTCAGAACCTAGGTCCTTCCCCATGCGTAGTTGCTTGTCGTCTCTTATTCCACGGGTGCCAGGGGTCAGGGCTGGCGCCTCTTCCCACATCTAGGAGGGTTTCACTGAATCAGCCGACCGTCTCCAGAGTAGCAGGGCCCTTGCTCTGAGACCTATCACCGTGCTCACTCGAGCACAGTTACGTACTTCACAGTGCATCTCTCCGTCTCTTACATGTCTAAGGGCTTCCAGCGCAAGACGCGACCAGCGGTTCGTCTCCGCGTTTCTCTCTCTCCCATGCGCTCCAGTCAGGACATGTCCAAGGCACGGAAGCTGCTTGGGACGATGCGCCCGCCATGTTGCTTCGTCCAGGCATGGCAACGCCCCGATCTCCAAGGCAGACAACCCTGGGCCACTCCTTGAACCTCGCGGATCCATCGCTCATCATTGCAGATCAATTGGTATTCTTCGACACATGCTGTCACAGCATGGCGGCCGCTCAGCTTGCACTAGGATTGCAGCACAGTCGACGACAGTGACTACAGTAAAGAGATCTTCAACCCCACACGTGCCGAAGTGATCGAAATCACAATGAGGCAACAAACGGTTCGTTTTGCCTCGGCATCTTCTGCACCGTGGGACGAAATCCGCCCTCACCCTACCTACTCGCAGTCGGCGCTTTTCGTTGCCTTCGTCTTCTGTCGCAAATGCTCCGCCTGAGCAAAGCTTGCAAAAGTAGGAACGCAAACAACGCAGGCATCTGCATGCCACGTAAGGAAGCTGCCCGCCAGGACCAATACTTTCCGCGTATCCTGTCCAATTCCTTTAGCTGCTCGTACTGCTCCAGAGCTGCTTGGATCTCCCCCTTGGCCTGCCAAGCAAGCGCTAGCGTTCCTGGAGACTCCCCGAACACATGGGGAACTTGATCTCCTAGGCACAACCAAGTGCACAAACTATTCGTCGATCCTCGTGGATGTTGGCAAGTGCTTGGATGGCAAAGCAACATGACGTGCCCTCCTGTGTAGCAACTTCCACGACCTGTGCCATCATCCGGTCATCAGCAAGCTCAACAAAGACAGTTTGCAAGTGTCAGCCACGTTGCCTCGCGGCAAAGCATCTCAACTGCTGGTGCTGAAGTCCAAGGAACCTGCCGCGGGTCAAATACGAGTATCCTAGTAAACAAGGCAAAAAAACCATAAATCTGTAGAATGTTGGTCCACATTACCCGAGGCATTCCGTGGCAGGATTGCCTTCCCATCTCCATCCCCCAAGAAAGCGGACAAATAGTTCCAAGCACACTCATTGTTCGCGCACTTGCGTATTGCTTGCATGGCAAAGTTCAACTCGCGATCGCGAATGCTGTCTGTAAATGGCCAGCTTTGATGTCGAACAGTTGTGTACCTGCAGCATGGCATAGCGGCATAACCTGAAGACATGCGATAAGATGAAACACCTGCAGTCCAGCTGCCTATGGTTCCACGCGGAGTTGTTGCGGATGTCTTCTTCCAAAAGCTGCTCGACGAACGGAAGCTCTTCATGCCAGAGGTTGAACTGTTGCAAGATGAACTGTCGATGCGACCTTCTTGGTGCATTTGACCCTGATCCTACAACCAAACAGGACCTCTAACTCTTGGCTTCTAAACTGCCCGGCCAAAGCTAAAGGCTGCGACCAGCCATTGTAGTTCTTGTAGTCGCTGTTCACCCGCATGCATTCCTTGTGCGCGCGATGCACAAGTGACAAATGATCGGTTCTCAGTCATGCGAGTCATGCCTAATTTCCGTGGGCAAACTGCTGCTGTACTTGTATCAGCACTTACGCAGATGACTTTGCAAACCAGCTTCGAGGTGATAATCAAGCTCGCTCTTTGCTATCTGTTGGATCGTTTCCTCAGCCTCTGGGCCTGGTGTGCGGGAACGTGCGCGTGTGGCCATCTCCGACACGAGCCAACGTCTGTGATACCACACCTGCACAGGTTGGGAATGCTGCAAGCTGCAACTGCTGGCAGCCTCAAACCTTGACTGTCCTACCCTCATTGCCTGGTAATTCTTCGGGCAATCTCTAGCCCACTTGTCAGTGAAGATTCGCTCGTCTTCCAGATCGATACCCAAATCTTTGAGGCATCGTCGCCGATAGTACCAGGCGGTGTAATTCGCAGAGTTGTGTTCAATCACGTCCGCAGTCAAGTGCAGCGCCCTCTGGCTGGTCTCGTTGCGCTGCTGAATTGCTCGGAAGTAATTGTGCACCTCAAGAACAGTTGATGCAATTAACGAAAAGCATTGAAACAACAAATCTCGATGCCCGGCACGGCCTCTTCAAAGCCCAGAGGGTATTTTATGACCTCGATGAAACATTGCTATCCACAGCAACCTCTACACGTGACAAGAGATCAGGGCGAGGTCAAGGCTGCAAGAGGATGCGGGCCGTCATTTTGAGGGACCGGAACGATGTCCTGCACTGATGCAACATACACATGGCTGGCGCACAACCAACCCTCGAAAGAGGTGGTAACTCAATACTCTCATCTCAAGGTGTTGAACGCATTCTACTGCATGACCACCACGCGCCAGCACAAAGAGGAACAACTGCAACATTCGCGCAGCCGCAAAAATGAACACACACACACACACACCGAGCCTTCCAAGATTCGCGTTGACTGTAAGGCAGATCGTCTTCAAGGTTCTCCGGCTCTGTCGCCATCTTCGCTCTCCGAACGGCTACTGCTTGAGAAACGGTTGATCGAAACGCATGCAGGGCAGGCCTTTGCATGTTGAAGCGTGCGGACAAAACGAAAACGGAGGAGCGTAATCCACCATCACAAATTACATTAAACGTCCACTGGCGCTCAACAAACCAAAAAAGCGGGAGGCAGATCCTTCGGAGTCCTTCGTCACCTAGGGAAAACTTGTGCCTCCCGCTGACACATACACAGTCGCAACCCAGCTCGGGCTGCTACAGGCAAGCGCTTATGTCATGTTAAGTCATGCCTGAGGCTCTTCTGCCCAGGAAAACAGATGTCATACCAAAGTCATGCCGCATACACCCAGGTTCTTCAAACAACAAATTTAAGATTGACCAAATCGAGCCTCTCCCTGGGAACTGTATCTGCAGCACCTAGAAAGCAACCAAAAAGCACCAACAAAACGCCAGTGACCGCTAAATATTATTGTGATTAGGTTGCATTTACCATACCGCCCTCTCTACTTCTGAGGGCGGCGACAGGACAAGCCCTGCGGTTGCGCGCTCGCGGCCAGAAACGGTCTCCCCCACATGGACAGGCGCGGGGGTGATCGCCAGAGGGGACAAACCCGCATCAGAGGCTGCCACGGGGCGGCACAGGCGGAGCCGCACCGTGACACGGAACAGCGGTCCATCCACGTGCACGAGCTCAACCGGCGCTGACCGGGTGAGCAAAGTGAACGCTGCTTGCGCGAACTCATTTTATCTTTTCATTTTGTTCTTCGTTCACACACTGTTGTATTATTGCAGCAGTACTAGATTGTGTTCTCTTCACACGATAATGTGATAAGGGAGGGAGTGAGCCTGGTCAGTAATAATATGGCGAGGTGAACAGACAAGGAGTTCAGGTGTCATGAGATAGATGGTGTACGACAGGAAACGTAAAGGTCAACCGTTCTCTCCCCCAAAGACCCGTGCAATATTACTGTTATAAGCCCGCATCATAAGGAACGCATGAATGGGGCTTATGATATTTATATTGGGGTCCTTTGCCTCTTAAAATTTATCAGAATTTATAAGCATTCGTAGACTTGCCTGATAATTATATTATATTATATTGTAAGGAGATTTTGCGCGATCACCAGGTTGGGTTCCTATCTTCTGTGAAACCGTACCGTCATGAGCCTTTTGCTTCCATCCCAACCTCTCATTTACAGGGACCACCTGTCTTTATCCCGGTGAACCAAGAATGAGGAAGGCCTTTGCTATTAGACTGTCTGAATAATTGGGGGCCGAACTTATTCTCTACATTTAGTATTGCGTTCGTATGTTATTGTCAGTATTCACCTGGGAAGGGAACACACGCACCGGATGATAACACGAACTGAAACCAAGTATAATATTAAGGCAAGTTTACGCATGTACTAATATTAGAATCGGGGAACGAAGTGCGCAATATTCTTCTTGCGGGAGGGCTTGTAATAATAATATTGTATCCGCGGGTGTACGTTAAAAATACTCCCGCGGTGTAATAATAGTTTGTGCACCAGTGTGTGGTCAAGTGTGCAACCGTGGCACGCTTGGCCGCAAAAATCTCCTGCGGCGAGGTCCAGCGCCGCCTCCCGCAGCCTCGTGTGCTTTTGGGGTGGATTGCCGGGCAATGGGGCGGCAGCGCGCGTGCCACGGGATCGTTTGGAGACTGACAACCCGCAAACAGAGCAGAAGTCGAGGTCGTGGGGCTCGCATCCGATGTGAGGTACACAGTTTTCCGGCGTCAGAATCGTGTTCCAGGTCGGATCCCAAACCCAAGTGAATGCAAAAAAAAAAACCATATACCGCGCCTCTGACGGGACGATCGACTGACAAAGGTTGCTGCCCAATGCTTCCCAGACTATGTGGCTGGCTTGAAGCTGCTTTCGATGTTGGGCGATGGAAACTCAAGCGAGCTGAGTGCATAGAAATGGTCCAAAGTACCTTGTTTGTGTAAGTGCCTTTAGTTCGTTCAAGGTTTTTGGGCTTTTTGGACGGAAGCCAGCCCAACCAGGTGAGACATCCCGAATATAGATATTTGACACAACGTTCGCGAGACGCCAGCTTAAAAAAATCAGGTCCAGGACGGCGGACATGCCCACCAGCCGGCCTTGCGCCAACGGATGTCGTGCAGCCCGCGGAGCTTGCCCACGCGCACTCCGAACACCTCGACCCAGCCCTGCCCGACATTGTCTGCGCGGCGCGGCGAGCCGAGCTATAGGCTGGCAGAGGCCGGCGTGGCGGACGCGGACGCGGACGCGGACGCGGACGCGGACGCGGACGCGGACAATGGCGGATGCGGACAATGGCGGATGAGGCGCCAGCCGCCGAGCCGGCTTGGCACTGTGAGCAGTTTAAGTACTTGGCTCCCGTTCGATGCCTCACATGTCATGACATTGGTGAAGTACATTGGCGAATCACAAGTGATTGCGTCAGACTTGTTCTTGCGACGCCGTGGCTCAAGTGGCCAGGTGAAACTGTTTGTTACGTCATAGCTGTGCTTGCTGAGCTGTGACCAACACAGGGTTATCCGCCGTACCTTTAGGCGCCATGGCGACGGACGATGCAACGTCAGGGCACATCTACATCAAAGGTCGTCAGGCTGTCCGCATCGTTGATTAGCGCCACTTGCAGGAGTCAACGCATTTAGGCACGGAGGCTAACACCAACAGGCAGAAAGGCGAAATGTGCAGAAAAGGGCTGCAGCAGCCAAGGTCGCTGCTGCCGCAGTGGCAGGCGGCAACTTTCAGGAAGGCAACGGCAAACACAAGAGCAAGAAAGGCAATGACAAGCCGAAGCCGTGTTTACATTGCCACAAGCCCGGACACACAGCAAAATTGCTGGTTGAGTCCAAGTTCCGCTGACAGGCCGGACTTCGCGGCGAAGATCAAAGATGATCAATGGCAGCAGTGCCTCTTCGTCCAATGGTGGGCCATCTGCGCCGCCTGGCTTGGGAGCTGCGTCCATTGGGGCGCGGTCTGGGCATGCAGTTCCGACAGATGTTCTCACCAAGGCGTTTTCAGAGTTTCTCACTAAACTGCTCGGTGGCTCCGAACGGTTTGCCGATATCGGGCCGAACGCGCCTCAACAGTTTGCGCGCGCAGCGTGAGCCCTGCATTCTGGAGCCAGTCTAGCTCTGCATCACAGGAAGCAATGCCCATTATCCAAGTGGGAGACTGTGCGAAGTGCAGACTGTGACATCGACACAGGGGCTGGGGCGTCGCTCAGCATGGTTATGCCGCAGTCATCAAAAATCAACATGGCATCGATGGGCGAAACTTGCCGCCGAGATGTGGTATCATTTTTCCTGGCCTGCGTGGCCGGAACAGCCGCATTTCTGGCGTGATGGTGGTTTTTTGTCTTGCACCTTTTTACGACTGGCCATCAGCGGTCCCGGTGCAAGACTAGCTCTGTTCAACGAGGTCAGCGTCCTCCACGCCTAGGTTCAGGGCTGCCGCTCACCGAAGGGGGGGGGGGGGGGCGGACGGCTGGCGAGTGGCGGAGCTTCCTCAAAGCGAGTGGAGGACAGGACGTCACTGAGGGCAGGCTGGTCGCCATCGACGTTGGCAGTGCCGGCGAGGGGGAGGCCAAGCAGGCTCGTGCAGAAGGCCATGGCGGCGGCGAAGGTAGGAAGGCGGCCCAGCGAGAAGTGAAGGCGGCGACGGTGGCCGGCCTCAACGGCTGCGGCACGGACGAATCGACGGCGAGCACAACAAGCCGGCACCGGTGCGGTGGGAGCGCAACAGCTCAGGGTAGGTGCGTTCCTTCGCGCTCCGTGCGATGCAGAGCGCAGCCCCGCGGCTCTCCGCTCGTGTCTCGGCGGGATTCGGCGGGTCAATGGGGCGGCGGCCGCGACAAGCTGCAGCATCGAGGGGCGAGGGCAAGCGAAGCCGACGCAGAAGCAGGGCCTTGGAAAACAGGTGCATTGATCATGCTCGGGGCAGTAGGGCAAGGTCGTGAGAACCCTCGAAACATAAGGCCGGCCTGGGGTTCCAACATGGCAAGTGAAGCCGCGTCAATCGCAGCGCGGAACTGGCCGGCGGAGAAATCGTCGAGGCAGGCCGTTGCCATCCACGTGTGGTGTCAACAGGCTCGTCAGGGTCTGCCCCAGCTCCGTGGCACTGCGAAGCCCAAGCCCGCCATGGCGCAAACAATGGTATGGTGGTTCAACGAGGTGCCGCTCACCCTGGTCAGTCGCGTCACATTCTTGTCATTCGTTGTCGATGCTCGTCCTCCAAGCTTGCACGGCGAGGCGAGCGACACGGACTTGAACAACTTTTTTTTTCAGCGCACCTCCTTCCCAAGTCCAGGGCGATCAATCTCAGCGTACTATAGGTAGCACAAGGTGAAGAGAGCACACCTGGCAGGGAGCTAGGGCGATGGCCCTGTCACGGCATGCGGCCGGCAAGGGGAGGAGGAGGCCGAGCAGTCTGCCAAGACATCGCTGAGGAGCGGGATAGTGTTCGCAAGAGGGAGTGCGATGAGGCTGGCACAAAAGGCACGCGTGGCTGCAAACGCGATGAGGGAAGACCAGCGGAGCACGTATGCGGAGGTTGCTGCGCTCCTCGCGGTTGCAGGCCCTCCAGCGGGCGAGCTGGCGGACGAACCCTGCAGCCTCGGCATTCCAGCGGCCTCCGACCTCGAGCGCGCGCACGGTCAGGCGGGAGCGCGGGCTGAACGGCAGAGCTCCGGGTCCTTGGCCTGGCGAGCCAAGCGCAACGCGGCACCAGTGCGGTGCAGCCGCGCGCGCGACGGGGGGCACCGGTGGCCGTCATTGGGGAGACAAGGGTGGTGTCAACAGCCAAATGAACACCCCCCCAGAGCGGTTGTCTGTTGGCGATGACCTCGATTGATCATCTTGGCGCTCAGTGACAACATAGTGGTCACGCACACGAACATTGGTTGCGACCGTGGCTCCAGCTTCGTGACAAAAACGAGTTGCTGCACGCTCGAGTGGGCCCGCGCGCGGGCGGCTTGGTCGAGGGCGAGAG